TGCCAGAGGACATATGTGTTTGCCAGAGAGATAAAGATAGGGACAGGGCAGAAAGAGAAGGTACCCCTAACAGGATGTGGTTATGCTGATATCCCTTCTCCTCCATTTCTCCATCCTGTTAGGATTTGGGGCATGCACACACATATGCCACACATGCCCAGAATGTTTCTCAAGCCTCCAGAGCCAGGACTTGAACCTCCATGTGGGATCCAGCTCCTTTAACCACTAGACCACAGGACCAACCCAATATCCTATTTTCAATCATAGATACAACTAGCTATCAGATTAACAAGAAAATAGAAGAGTTGAACAATACTGTAAACCAACTAGAACTAGTAGATCTGTAGAACAATTTACACAGGGCCCAGCAGGTGGCATAGTGTTAAGGTGCTGGACCCCCACATGCCCAATAGTGGCTCTAGTCCCAGATCTGGCAGCTTAAAAATCATACCAGGCATGTGTGCATGCACACCCAAAATCCCAAGAGGAGAAGGCATGGCCATTCCCCCTGGGGGAGTGTTTCTCACTTTCCCTCTCTCTGTATCTCTCTGTCTCTCTCCCTCTCTGGCAAGTACACCCACCTTACAGAAAAAAAACTAAAAGCAAAAGAAAGAATACTTCACACAAATATAGCAGGATACACATTCCTCTCAGGTGCACATGGAACATTCTCGAGGCTAGATCACATATTGGGACATAAAACAGTGTCTAAACAAACTTTCAAATGAATTGAGATCAGACAAAGTAAACCCTTCAGCAAACTAAAACAGACAAGCAAACAAACACAAATAACTCAATTTTTTAAATGAGAAAAGGATTCGAGTGGATTGTTCTCTGAAAACAATCAGTAACAGAAAGAAATATGAGGGATTCATAAATATGTGGAAATTAAGCCACATACTCCTAAATAATCAATGTACCAAAGAAGAAGTCACAAGGGAAATTAGAAAGTGCTTTGAGATGAATGACACCAAAATACAGCATACCAAAATTTATGGGATGCAGCTAAAACAATGCTTATGTAGAAATTCATAGCTATAAATATATCTATTTATACATATTTTTAAGATATCAAATAAATAACCTTTCACCTTAAAATAAAGAACAGCTAATGAAGCCCAAATCTAGTGGGAAACACAGTTGGCCCTCTTGCACAGTGGGTAGGCACTATTCAGAGGAAGCTAGATCCCATTATGAACTAGGGTTCAAATCTAAGCCCTGTTGGCTTCGGGTTGGGCATGTGCACGCATGCCCAGGAGCCTTTTAAGATGGAGAATTAAAGATAAAAAGGAATGCAGCAGGACCAGGCCACCCTGGAGGAGTGTTTTTTCTCTCTCTCCCTTCTCCTACTCTCACTTCTCTCGCGCTCTTCCTCTCTCTCTCTCTCTCTCTCATGTATGTGCCCGCTGTCATGTTTTTGAAATTTAAAAAAGAAAGAAAAGAAAAGAAAAGCCATCCATGTTCACAAACTAGATTTAATATTGTTAGGATGATTGTACTTTCCTAATTGATCTACAGATTCAGTACAATCTCGGTCAGAACCTCAGGTGATTTCATTGCAGAATTGACAAGCTGATCTTAAAGTTCATATGAAAAGGATAGAGACCCAGATTGTCCAAAATAATCTTTTAAAAGATAGGGAACCAGCAGTTAGCGTAATGGCTATGTCGCTGGACTCCCACGTAGTCGACCGCGGTTCGTGTCCCGGACCCGGTGGCTTAAAACTCACGCCGGGCGCGTGTGCGTGCGTGCCCAAGATCCCAAGAGGAGAATGGAGGAGAAGGGATTGCGGCGTGACCATCCCCCCTGGGGGGTGATTTCTCGCTTTCTGTCTCTATGTCTCTGTCTGTCTGGCGAGCGCACGCGCCCTACAGTGAAAATCTCTCCCCCCCCCAAAAAAAAAAAAGAAAAGAAAAGAAAAAAAAAAAAAGAAAAGATAAAAAGATAGACGAAGTTGGAGCAGTCATATATGACAACTTCTTGCGTTTACTACAAAACCAAGATGATCAAAATTGTATGCTACTGTAGGGACGAGCAGGTGGTGTAATGGCTATGTCGCTGGACCCTCACGTAGTCAACCACAGTTTGAGTCCTGAACCCGGTGGCTTAAACCCACGCTGGGCGCGTGTGCGTACATGCCCAAGATCCGGAGTGGAGAATGGAGGAGAAAGGATTGCAGCATGGTCATCCCCCTTTGGGGGGTGATTTCTCACTTTCTCTCTCTCTGTCTCTCTCTGTCTTTCTGGTGAGTGCACGCGCCCTATACCAAAAACCTCTCAAAAAAAAAAAATCAGAAAAAAAAGCCGTATGCTTCTGTATAAGTAAAATGAAATAGAAGTGAGAGTCCAGAAATAAATGGCTATATTTATGATCAGTTGATCTTCAACAAGGATGCTAAGATAGACCAGTCAGGAAAGAATAATATTTTCAA